GCGTATCTGTCGGGGAAAGGAATTTGGTAAGTAGATAACGTGGAAAAAAGCTTTGGGGAACTGGATAAACCCGAGAATATGTGTAATTATAGGGGAATGGGCAACCTGTTGCTGTTGGTACCAGTTATGACTGGGTGCCTAAATAACTATACGGACAGTTTTGTTTTCATACGATATAAGTCTGGCTGCCGATTTTCCTGCGCCTTTCTCATTTTAAGCGTCAATGGCGGAAAATTGCGTCCTCAGCATATTGGATTTAGTTGATATTTTACCTGAAAAAAAGATACATGACCGGCGATGTACCCTATTTGGACAGCTTGTCTAGCGAAAATTAAGTACAAAATAAAAGGATATATCGTCAATTTGAAGAAGTTTCTCATAGAACCCGAAGTAAATTTATGGTTTATCTTTGAAAATTAAGCAGTCATTGCTTAAATCATGTGGTGGGATCATCAGCAAGCTTGAGTATCGGGCAAATGATAATTAATGTCGCGGCGTCTTCAATTAATTAATTAAAGCAATTCAGTTCCATATGATGTTTTCATAAATAATATATAATGTACGCAATTAAATTAATAAGTTCTTCATCAAGATATATTTCAGTTGTACCAGCGTGTACACCTATACCGGAAGTGGGTATAACACGTCACAATCTCGGTCTCGTCTGTCTCGCGAGAATGACAGAACGCCAAAAGGGCGGCGCCCATGAACTTATTTCTCAAGTAAAAAAAAGTGTCTTTAAACACGAATTTCTCTCTTATAGGGTTGATGTCAATAGGGAAACTGTCATGGTTCCTCTTTTTAAATGATGAATATTTATATTAGACAGACATCAATCCATCCATTCTTATTCCTTTAATATACCAGTGAATGATATAATGTAGCAGTGAATGATATAATGTAGCAGTGAATGATTTTAATCGAGTAGTGAATGATATAATGTAGCAGTGAATGATATTATGTAGCAGTGAATGATATAATGTAGCAGTAAATGATACAATGTAGCAGTGAATGATATAATGTAGCAGTGAATGATATAATGGAGCAGTGAATGATGTAATGTAATAGTGAATGATTTAAATGTAGCAGTGAAGAATTAAATAAAACAGTGAATGATATAATGTAGCAGTGAATGATATAATGTAATAGTGAATGATTTTAATCGAGTAGTGAATGATATAATGTAGCAGTGAATGATATAATGTAGCAGTGAATGATATAATGTAGCAGTGAATGATATAATGTAGCAGTGAATGATTTTAATCGAGTAGTGAATGATATAATGTAGCAGTGAATGATATAATGTAGCAGTGAATGATTTTAATCGAGTAGTGAATGATATAATGTAGCAGTGAATGATATAATGTAGCAGTGAATGATATAATGTAGCAGTGAATGTAAAATGGAGCAGTGACTGATATAATGTAGCAGTGAATGAATAAATGAAACAGTGAATGATATAATGTAGCAGTGAATGATATAATGTAGCAGTGAATGATATAATGTACCAGTGAATGATAAAATTGAGCAGTAAATGATATAATGTAGCAGTGAATGAAATAATTTAGCAGTGAATGATATAATGTAGCAGTGAATGATATAATGTAACAGTGAATGAAATAATTTAGCAGTGAATGCAATAAATTAGCAGTGAATGATATAATGTAGCAGTGAATGATATAATGTAGCAGTGAATGAAATAATTTAGCAGTGACTGATATAATGTAGCAGTGAATGATAAAATGTAGCAGTGAATGATATAATGAAACAGTGAATGATATAAAGTGGTAACAAATTATTTAATGCAATATGAATCATATATAATCAGTAAATAAAAATGAATCAATGAATGATAAAATGTACCAGTGAATGATATAATGTAGCAGTAAATGATATAATGGAACAGTGAATGATGTAATGTAATAGTGAATGATAAAAATGTAGCAGTGAATGATATAATGTAAAAGTGATGATATAATGTAGCAGTGAATAATAAAATATATCAGTGAATGATATAATGAAGCAGCGAATGATTTAATATAGCAGGGAATGATATAATGTAGCAATGAATGATATAATGTGGTAACGAATGATTTAATATAAAAGTGAATCATATAAAATACCGGTAGATAATAAAATATTTCAGTAAATGATTTAATTTAGCAGGGAATGATATAATGTGGTAACGAATGATTTAATGTAATAGTGAATCATATAAAATATCAGTAAATAATAAAATATGTCAGTGAATGATATAATGTAGCAGGGAATGATATAATGCGGTAACGAATGATTTAATGTAATTGTGAATCATATAAAATATCAACAGATAATAAAATGTCATTGAATGATATAATGTAGCAGTGAAATATATAATGTGGTAGTGAATGGTATAATGGCAGTAAATGATATAACAGTGAATGGTATAATGGCAGTAAATGATATAACAGTGAATGGTATAATGGCAGAAAATGATATAACAGTGAATGGTATAATGGCAGTAAATGATATAACAGTGAATGGTATAATGGCAGTAAATGATATAACAGTGAATGGTATAATGGCAGAAAATGATATAACAGTGAATGGTATAATGACAGTAATGATATAACAGTGAATGGTATAATGGCAGTAAATGATATAACAGTGAATGGTATAATGGCAGTAAATGATATAACAGTGAATGGTATAATGGCAGTAATGATATAACAGTGGATGGTATAATGACATTAAATGATATAACAGTGGATGGTATAATGGCAGTAAATGATATAACAGTGAATGGTATAAGGACAGTAAACGATATAACAGTGAATGGTATAATGGCAGTAAATGATATAACAGTGAATGGTATAATGGCAGAAAATGATATAACAGTGAATGGTATAATGGCAGTAAATGATATAACAGTGAATGGTATAATGGCAGTAAATGATATAACAGTGAATGGTATAATGGCAGTAAATGATATAACAGTGAATGGTATAATGGCAGTAAATGATATAACAGTGAATGGTATAATGGCAGAAAATGATATAACAGTGAATGGTATAATGGCAGTAAATGATATAACAGTGAATGGTATAATGGCAGAAAATGATATAACAGTGAATGGTATAAGGACAGTAAACGATATAACAGTGAATGGTATAATGGCAGTAAATGATATAACAGTGAATGGTATAATGGCAGAAAATGATATAACAGTGAATGGTATAAGGACAGTAAACGATATAACAGTGAATGGTATAATGGCAGTAAATGATATAACAGTGAATGGTATAATGGCAGAAAATGATATAACAGTGGATGGTACAATGGCAGTAAATGATATAACAGTGAATGGTATAATGGCAGTAAATGATATAACAGTGAATAGTATAATGGCAGTAAATGATATAACAGTGAATGGTATAATGGCAGTAATAATATAACAGTGGATGGTATAATGACATTAAATGATATAATATATATGCGAATGATAAAATACATGTAATATAGCGTTGAGTGATAAATGAATTTAACAAATGTTCTTTAACTTTAAATTGTATGGACAATTTTTATGAACTTCTTTGGTGTGTTCAAAACTTTTTTGTGAAGTATAGTGACATTCTACTGTCAAATATGGGTCAATTGACATGCTTGAAAAGATAAGCCGTGTAATCAGATTAGATATATTTTACGACTGACCCTACAACAGATTATAAAACACAATATAAATGTCTGCTAAATCATCTAACATTGTCATGGGTGATTATGCAAATTGAAATAATATCAAATAGCATTTTGTGAATTTGTAAATATGTACATGACTTTTTAAAACGATTGGTATATATTATATATTAACAGAAGTATAAATCAATCTCAAATTGTTTTCTACGATATAAATTTTGTATATCCATGAAAGGAAAAAAAACGAAAACATATTATGTAATATAAGTTAGGCTAGACCAAGGTGCAGATAATTAAGAATTGATTAAAGATACTGTATGAATAACATCCCCTCGATCACGTCGCTTAGGATGAATGAATGAATGAATGAATGGGAAGGAAGGAAGGAAGGAAGGAAGGAACGGACGGACGGAACGGACGGACGGACGTACGAACGAACGGACGGATGGATGATGATGACATATTGTACAGGATATTTCCACATGTTTTATGAATTAAAGTTTTTTTAATAAAAACGTTGTTAAAATTGTTGTATATTTTGAATTCAAACATTTCCAAAGCAGTTATATAAGTTACTATCAGGTGTGAGTCCACACGTTCGGGTAAGAAGGGCAAAAATTCATACTGAAAATATAAACATATCATGTTTTAAATATAACGTATATTACAATGTACAATCCAAAGTAAAGCTGCAATTTCTATAAGTATTTGCTTAATAGGCTTAAATGATGAAACGAAGAAACATTTTAAGTACAAGTATATATCCCCTCCTGAAAAATAAAACAACAAAATAGTAAAAAACAAAAACAACAAAGTATTTTACATCATTTCCTGCTTTCTTGACAATTAATGGAACAATGTATTTAACAAGAACTGGTAGAACTTATAAAGAAACTACTTTTAAAATGGGGGGGGGGGGTGGTGATTGGGTGGAAACGACTAATGTGCGCCAATACGCAACTGCTAACAGTTCCGATTTTAAATGATCTTGCAAACTTTCACATTTATATAACCTGAGTGATACATGTAAAGCACGTGCATCGTCTTAACTGTTTAATCTCTTAAGTGCGCGTGCTTATCCGATAATACGTGTGCGTTAAAAAAACTACTAGTTGAGCTGGTATTAATGAAACATTGATCAAATAATAAATGCTCTACATGTCATCGATTATCCTTCTATTTAGTTGTAACGTGCTGTCAAAATTATTGAATAAACCCGATATTTGTATTCATAAAAACATTTTTAAAGTGGTAATTTGATACGTGAAATATCCCCGCTTGGCGAAATATTGACAATATATTTGTAACAAAGTTGTAAACATTTTAAGAGTTTAATTGACATAGTTTGGAACAAAATTAGGACGTATTCTTTTGTTAAGTTATATTTTGATACAGTTTGTAATGTGGAATTGTGTTGATATCGTGAGGGATATACATAAATAAGTTAAAGCCGCGAAATGCGAGGTTTATTTAACTAAATAATGTAATAGTAGTCGGATATCACGTAGCTTTATAAACATATCAATATCCCTTAAGTTACACAGTGATAATTATACGTACATTTGAATACATTATCGAATAGCTTTTAAATCTGAAATTCAATTGTATCTTTTCAAACAAATCTCTTGCTTTTTTCCAACTAAGATACTCGAAAAATGGATATTTATTCAAAAGGTATACTTATAAATCCGTATGCCTCACAAGATCTCCTTTTACAAAAACGTTTGAAAATCAATTTGTCGAAAATGATTTAAATAAAAGAAATATATAAAGGATTATTGTGCTGTTTATTTTTGAAAGGATCTGAAATGACGTTATTCATTGCAAAAAGTGTTTATTATTCTCAAACTATAAAAATTGACAAATACATACAATTTGCAAAAAAATATTTTCATTGTGTTTTATTTGCTTCGTAAAAAGGAAAAGAAAACATTTAAAAAATGAGTGTGGATTTTCATTTACCACCAATTGCGATACCGCCGGTACAGCCCCCTGTGATTTTAAGTGATCCCTACAGAGGGAGCCATGTACTTAGGTAAGCGTTCTTTGAGCAATTAGGTACAATGTTCGGTAAAATGAACTCACCCGTCATTTAGGAAAAATATTTAATGTTAAATATAGCGGCGTGTCTGACCGTCAATGGAGACTGAGAAAATCATCTGTCATATAGCATTTTAAAACAAACAAAAATAAATAAAGTCTGTCTTTCTTCGAATGTTACAAATAATAACACAATTCACATATATTTAAATGCTAACCGCTTGCATCAAGATGAGTCATTTCTCGAGAAGATTTACTTCGAATTATCTAAATCATTTATAAAGATTAAATGATTAGCGCCTTTGTTGACAAATTTTGACAGTGTAGCCAGGATTTCAAATCCTGGCCTCCAAGAATGCGTTTTCAACATTACGTCAGAAGATCTTATTGTGAGATAAAATTGCAATTTATGTAACATTATTTTGGTGTTAAAGTAAACGCGCTATAATCTTAAATCGTTGAAAGGTAAATGCATATCAGCTTATAGAATTCGCCGACTGTCAAATTGCTTTTTTGGGGGTATTTTAAAGCCCACAACTAACAAAACACTCCAAGGTCATTTGGCAACTTAAGATAAAATCGTATCTATAGATCAAATTTGAATAAAAATATTATCTTAAGAATGCGTGCTACAACACTGTTGATTAGACTGACTTATAGAAGATTATAATGTTTATCTTTTTTCCTTGCTTTTATTTTGAGTTTAAAAATATTGAAAAATATACTGTGTCAGTGATTTTCCTGCTTATATAACAGAGCCCAATAAAAGGCCTCTTCCCAATTGAAATTTTCTTTGAAATCATACAGTTTTAACAAAAATCTTAACTTTAACATGCCTTTTTGCTTCCCAAAATAGCAATTTCAGCGATAATTTTTCCTAAAATCCAGAGGCTAAGGCCTCTTCCCAATTAAATGAGAAAAATCACTATGTGTATGCTGTGGTTACATATATCTACGTATCATACTAATGTAATTTGATTAAACACATGATCTTAATATATGAGATAACAGAAACAGTTTATGTAAAAAATAATAGATGTCGTCTGTCTCCTTTCCGAGTTATCTGCATTTCAGTTTAAACATTATTTTTCTTGCATATCAGACTGGCGTTTCTTTTAGTTTTACTTATGCCAGAAATGTCATGACTGAGCCCCGGATGACACAGGCAGAGCCCCGGTCAATCCAGACAGAGCCCCGACAGAGACTAGGACTATCCCTGCAGAGCCCCGGTAGTTCCCCGATGGATAGAAAACGCGCGAATATTATGACGTTGATACGTGTTTGTTTAAGTTTTAGTTGTAACTCCATTTAAATTGTCAATTTTAAATTTTCTCCTATTTAATAAGTAATTCATGATGATTTTCTGAATAATCCTTATGCTAGACTGGACAGAAGGGAAATGGGAAGGGTTTAATACAAAAAGTGCAATCATCGCAAAGTGCCGTGATTCTTTTTAAATGAACCGGACTTTGCCGGAGCTCTACCGGAATCAACCGTAGCTTCATCGTCATCTTCTAAGGCTCTGCCGGCATTCACCGGGGCTCTGTCAGCATTGACCGGCTATATCACATCCCGGATCATCCCCGATTTGTGCTGGCAGTACTACGGTGCTTCCCCGGTATAAGCCCGGTCGTAAAACGGCGAACCTCGACAAATAATTTATAACAAATGACACGAGACAAATGTGCATTCTTATCCCTTAAAAAACATAAGACAAATGTGCTTTCTTGTCCCTTGAAAAACTGGATCGGAGCACATTTGTCATACAAATAAGTTTTTTTTAGGATAGACATTCGAGGTCCTGTTTGTCTCTGTGGGACAAATGCGACCGCATCGGTCTTACGTAAGACAAATGTGTTCCGAGACAAATGTACTCCTACAATGCTGACAACATTGGAAAAATGAAACATTTAAGATGGCTTCCAAGATGGATGCCAAATTATCCATACTTGTTGCGATTATAAATGCATATTTAGATGAAATTCACGTACGTACAAAACCAACATAGTGCATTTGCGACCAGCATGGATCCAGACCAGCCTGCGCATCCGCGCAGTCTGATCAGGATCCATGCTGTTCTCTTGCAAACCCTATTTACAAGTAAAGAAACTGATGGCGAATAGCATGGATCCTGATCAGAATGCGCGGATGCGCAGGCTGGTCTGGATCCATGCTGGTCGCAAACGCACTATGTTGGTTTTGTCATGGCGCGGGCTCATATGTGTCAAGTTGTAATTGTGGCAAGCCACTTTAGTAAATACCTTTAGTCTGAGGCTGTAGCCAGAGATGATTTTGTCATTCTCTGCATATATTAAACGATGATTCTGTATTATGTACGTATAGTTATATTTATTATACACATGTACACAAAATGTATGGGTTAAACTTTGTTCAAAGTAGGATATACAATGTAATTCATTATTAAACATATGCATGCATAATGCTCCGCAAACCGTTATCTTCTTAAACTTTACGAAGCAGGAACAAGACACTTCACTACCCGCCCTTCCACCCCTGCCCCCTATAAGGATTTAATCATTTGAAACGGCCGAAATGGATAAATTGCTCGTTTTGTTCAGCTAGTTCGTATTGAAATCGTAATCATTAAAGCCTTTTAAAATTTTGATATATATGCTTGATGTCGAGTAAATTTTTTTCGAATAGCTGTAAAGCAATTTTTCGGGATACATCGCCAATGCTTACAGACACCTCACCCTAAGACACTGTACACTCTAGAAACCTGAGACACTTTATTAAAAGGTGAAGTGTTGCGGCATGGCCGTGTGACTAGTAGCCTAATGATCGCTACTCGCATGGGTTCAAACCCCGTTAGGCGCAAGCCGTTGTTTACTTGAGCAAGAAACTTTACACTCATTGCTAAGTACGTACTGGTTGGTTCCAGGAACGGATTCGAAAGTGTGTTTATAAGCTTATAGCTTCCTACACAATCAAACTTAAACAAATTCTGTATGAACCAAAGGTGAAATGTCCTCTATATTTAAGATTTGAGGGGGGGGGGGGGTAAGTGTCTTGTTCCTTCGCCGATATACCGGTCCGGAATATTGAGATTTGCACAGCATTCTGTATGCATTTCTTATAAAGTCATAAAGTCCTACGTAGGAGTTATAAAGTCCTACGTAGGAGTTAAAAAGTCCTACGTAGGAGTTTAAAAGTCCTACGTAGGAGTTATAAATTCCTAATTAGGCTTTTTTATCTCCTACGTAGGAGTTTTAAAGTCCTACGTAGGAGTTATAAACTCCTAATTAGGCTTTTTTATCTCCTACGTAGGAGTTATAAAGTCCTACGTACGCTTCCGTAAACTTTCGAGTAGCGTCTTGAAAATAGTGCCACCAATGATTTCCAGCGTTTTAATTGTAGTTAATTGGCTATAAGACTAATTGCAACACTGATATTCAATTAATTGTTTATTTGACTTAAACAATTTGAAAAAAAAATGAGTTGCCTTAACTGGGATTTGAACTCCAGACCACTCGCTTCCTAAGCGATCGCGCAAACCCCTCGGCCACGGTGAATTTATATGTTAAGGGCCTGAAGAAAACCATATTGTTCTAAATTAGGGTTTGTAACGACGCTTACTGTTGTTTAACACTTGTGTAAATAATCATGGCGCTTACTATAAGCATGTATATCTATAAAAAATAAAACAATATTAGAAATCTTCGACCATTCGGGAATTATTTTGCTTGAAAATTAATGCGCATGTCATTTGACCATCTTTACGCAGTGATCTCCCCGATTTTTTCGGCGTTAGTGTACATATAACGGGAAGTAACCGCTTCAAAAAAGCGGACTACTTTCGGCATTTGCAATTAACAGCATTAGAGTCTGAATTTCGCTACCATTATTTGTTTGGTCTGACGACCCAAACAAATAAAAACGAGATGTCGCGTGTAAAAAAAATTGGCTGAAACTATTGGAATAAAATCAAACGGAATCTAATCAGAAATATGGTCAATTTTTTGCATGCTAATTTTCGAGACGCTACTTAAAAGTTCGCAAAGTGTCGCGTTATACCTTAAACTTAATACATTGTAAAAGCACCAAAGACAACCACTAAGATATAGTTATGGATATATCTTTTTGCTATATATTAATTTCCTCTTTTCTTCAGGAAATTGTTTTCTTCTTTATTTGTTTAACTTTGTCTCGATTTAACAAAATACTTTTTTTAGTTTAAACGGATTTTGAAGAAAAGCGAATTGATTGAAAAGAAAACCTATTTGGTAATGTCACTTAATGAACTTTGTATCCGGAGTAATTATATATATATAATTTGTAAGCTTATTTTATTTTTTGCAGATGGAACAAGTCACGTGGGCAGCCCGACAGTAGTCGTCTCCCACAACCTATGACCCGGGAGTCTTCGTTTAATTTGTCATTAGATGATGACGACATGACATCAAGTTGTACACCGTATAGATTACCTAGACTGTCGCCGCGACCCGGGGATCTCACGCCGAACTCCGATACAGATAATTCGCATGGGCATGACGAGTCTAAATCAAACGATAAAGTATGGAGCCGGTATGGTTATGAGAAAATCATAAGGTACATATAATTGATATTTAATTTTCTTAAAAACCATTGAGGGAATATGTATTAAAAAGGAGGTGAAGTGATAAAACATATGTTAATGTCTGCTTAAAACCTATGTAATATGTATTTAAATGAAATTTGGCGTTCGGATTACTGAAATGAATTCCGGAAATAACGTTCCGGTTCTGAGAAAAAAAGGTTTAGGAAATTGTTAATATTTTAATAACTTCCTTTACATATATGCCCTGTGACTTGTCGATGTGAATGTTACAGAAAATTGTTCTATTAATGTAACATACACGTATCTTTAAAGATGTATACACATGTACGTCCAACTTTCAAAGGATTACTAGCCAAATTGTTATTACATGCACGGTCTCTGATACAAAGGGATAGAACTGCGAACTAAAGATTATTCAGCTTTGAAGAGATTAGTCGCCCCTAAAAATGCATATTTACATGTAGAATACAGAAACCTACATATTTGAAGTATGTGTTTCTCCCCCAGAATACCGGAGTTAAGCCCACAGATACGGATGCTCGTCCCGCCACCAAAATCCTTCAAAAGTACGAGCCCGTACTCGGCAACTGCCCCAAGATTCAAGAATGCTGCAATAACCCCCACTGTCCGAGCGGTACCCTGGAACATGGGGAGAGAGATTGACGATTCCCATCTACAACTCTATCAAAGGTATGTTTATAATCTGATCTTGATAATTATGAGAACATGTTTTATTTCGGACGGGTTTTAATTTAGGAAGTAAAGTCACGTGCGCACAGCATGAGTGAAAGAGATATGGTTTCTATAAGCAAATATTTTAATGATTATCAATTAATGAAAGAACAAGGTAGGTTCAAAATAATGTAGATAGTTTTAAGTAAAAAACGAATCTTTATATACTACTACACTTTGATGCCATTCTAAAATGGACGCTTGTCTATGTACCGGTATAAACAGGGAATAATATAATAATAATAATAAACTATATAATTAGATATTCATTCCTGGTATCAGACAATTAGAATATTTCAAGTAAGATTTAAACATAAACATATCAGACAATTAGAATATTTCAAGTAAGATTTAAACGCTAACCAGCGTTGAATAAGAGTACACATGTTTCCGGAAGAATATGATCTAAAAACATTTCTATTTTATATAAGTTTTCCTATATTTCAACTGTAGATATTTAATACACTGAAATGGAACTAATGTAACGTTCTTATCAATGACAGATGCAATGTATTTCTCTCACAAATTTCTTTTGGATTAGAATCATTTTCTTTTCAATTGATATATGCTGTTCTTTTATTTTTTCAATAAATTTGCTAATGGGTCAGTATATTGTAATTGTTCTATTTCTAGCAATCATTCACGTGTTCATGATGACGATTACTCGTCACGTCATACCAGGTTAGAGCCAACACCTACACCGATTTCCAGGAGTGAATCACCCGCTAAGTCTGTGAAAAGTATTCACTGGATTTTGGGCCATAACCGCTACCATACATTCGATAAAAAAGTAAGTAGATATGGTGGCCGGTTGCGGCAAGAAATTTTATTGTTTATCATAAAATGTCGCGGGCAACATACGAGTTTTTCTGCCGTTACGTACAAAATGTCGCGGGGAACGTATAAACCTCGATATTTTAGAACAGTTGTTGGGAACCGCAAGGTACATTTTGACTCCAGTGGCCGGTAGCGTCCATAGTTAAGCACTATAAGAATTGTAATCCTCGATTGTCCAAAAAAGTCGAGGAACATAAAGAAATCCGCCACGTTTTTGCAAGTGTTGTAAAAATTCTGCAAAAAGTCTAGGGGGGAATTAAATGGATTTGACTTTTTGTTCCTCAACAACGGTGTCATAAAATATCGCGGCGACTTTTGGCGCAGAGATATTTCCCGGCATAAAAAGATTTAACGTTCGAACTAGACATTTTATGAGATATGCATAAAAATCTCGCGGATTATAATGGCCACAAGTGGCTACCTAAAGTATACAAATGTTTGTGTGGCTTAGTCTGCTATAAAGACAGAAAATGTCGCGGTTTTCTTTGGAAACTTCACCTTTTTTACGAAAAAAGTTTGACAGAAAATAGTTTCTATAAGCCGCGACTTTTTAAACAAATTCGACATACAATCTCGCCGATTTAAAAGTTGCCCGCGACATTTTATAAACTTACGGTAAAATTTCGCGCGGCTTTAAAAAGGACGCTACCAGCTAACATAGGTAGAAGTATTATTTCAAGTGACATTATGCTCAGTTTTACTGTCAAGCTGAGATAATCTAAATGTGAGTTTTAAAAGATTGACTTTTTGAATGGCCAATGAAAAAAAAAAAAATGGTAATCACAAATGTTTTTTGTAAAATATATACTGTATTAAAAACAAATATTGTCGATATTCGGGTCACTTTGGTTATTGGTCACTTAGGTGACGTTTTAAATATTTTTACCTGATAACTCGCCTATACCGCGGCGTCTAGTGTTGAATTTATTTTAAGTATAATACCAATCATTTCAATTTTACTTATCAAATTTATTTTGCTTCGACTAGACGTTTTAATCTTTGTCGCAACAGACAAACATTTCAGAATTTCAGACATGGCATTTCTTTGTGAATTTATGCATTAGGTTCTACTTTTTCACAAAAATATGCAACCAGCACATACCAAGAACATGGTGCTTCGGATACTCAACTGTAACAGAGAATGATTTTCAATGCTGATTGACTGTTCACATAATTTGGCGGCGTCTTTGATTTGCAGCATTGTTTATTCTTGGATGTATATAATGTCACTTTCATTATACCTATATTAGGAAGAGACTTTCATTTAGTTTTAAATAAGTTATTTTGTTAGGACGAATTCATAGACTAAAATATTTTGACAAATGGATGTAATGACTAACAAAAAAGCGTTTAAATTATAAAAAAATGCAGTAATGTTATAACTTGTATTTGTTTATATAATCAGTGAGTCTTCATGTACACACTATGACTTCCTGTATTTGATCTAACTGTATAGATAAATTGTCCGTGTTTGATATGACAAGCATGTGGTGTTCTCGGACTGACTAAGCTTAATGTTGTAAATTATTTTTATTAGTGATTTGAACTTCCTTTTTCAGTACAAATTAATTGAATTTGTTTTCCTTAAAGTTCTGCTATTTTATCAAAAGTGGTTCAAACATGTATATGCTTGTACAAATACACGTTTTCTACGTTTTTAAAGTGAAATGGTCCTTCTAGAAAGGTCTGTGATACCGTTAAGAATGTTGTCGATAGTATTTAGTTTGATATTTGACAACAAATCATGAAAGAAATATATATATATATGGATGTTATTGGTAAGTGTGAGGTACATGATCCGATATTATATATCTTTATATAGCAGATAATAAACTATTCTAGAACAAAATATTATTATTCATCATATAAATGTTCATGCAATATCACTTAGAACTCTATCAACATTATTTTTGTCAGAAAATATTTTATAAGAATATCCAAATGATGTATTTCTTTGTTTAATCAGTATTTGAAAATCTTATGGAAAATGAGCTTATAGTAGACCAATTCACTTTAAATATTTGAACTATATTTCAGGGGCGGAGTCATATTCAGGGCCCGTATTCAAGGGAGTTTAATGTCACGTGCATGGCACCACAAAATTGGCTGAAAATGAAATGGGGACGCTCAAAGACTATGATTCATTAGCTTACCTCCCTTTAATGTTTATTTTATGAAATTTCGACAAATATAATCAAATTGCAAAAAGTGTTTAAAAGAATATATCGGTTCACGAATGAAACGCCCTTTCTTTAAAACAAAGTTGAGCCGTGTCACGACAAAACCAACATAATGGGTTTGCGACCAGCATGGATCCAGACCAGCCTGCGCATCCGCGCAGTCTGATCAGGATCCATGCTGTTCGCTTACTAACCCTATTACAAGTAAAGAAACTGATAGCGAACAGCATTGATTCTGATCAGACTGCGCGGATGCGCAGGCTGGTCGGAATCCATGCTGATCGCACAGCCATTATGCTGGTTTTGTCGTGACGCGGCTCATTTGTTAAGTTTCAAAACTATATACTCGTAGAATGTAGATAAATACAAAAATAATATTGTTGAAGTAAAAAAAATAAAAGAACAAAATTAAATTGTGTAGAAATATAAAATATACTTGTCCGTTTTCTGCGTTGTAAAAAATAGATTTTTTTTAAATGTATTTTATATAAGTAACTGATGAAACAGTGTCATAATGTATAACCCAGAAAAAAATGATTTTAAAATTTTAAGTCCAATTATTTGGTGGCGGTGTTAAAATGAAACAAGGTTTTGTAAGTTGAGTGTCAAACTGACACATTGTTATGGTATTTATGTATGGTGATAAATACTTATCAATTTGTTGAAATAAAACTATGAAAACAGTTCTTATATATATTTAAGCTATTTATTCATGTTTAACATACTTAAGTTAAATTTTCTTTTATTTTCCAAAATTAAATGTTTCAAAAATATCTTAGTTTGTTATACAAATATCCGGTTATTTTTTGCAAACGGGGGTAAGTATAAATTAAAAGTGCTTTAAACTTTAACATCAGTGAAACATCTTTTTTGTATGGAAGAATGATCTTTCAAAAAGAACAATACCGAGACATGTTTAATTGTAGCGACAAGGGTTTACATAGCACGTTTCCAGACCATACTACTTGTAAAAACCTTGATGGAAGAAAGAATAAAATACATTCAGGATCAAAATTCATTTAATGAATTTAGATATCTGTGATGAAATGGAACCGACGTTATAACGAACAAAGTTCAGAATGGCCATTCTAATAATTTATTGTATACATGAAAGCTACATGTCTTCAGATGAGCCAAATATTTATCATAATGACTGATTTTGCAGTATATTTTTAATTCGTGACTAACGCAGAATGAACTTTTATTGCATATTTTAACCTTTTTATTTTTTTAATTTATCTGTATTGTAAGTGCCGGTTTCAAAATATTAACTGCTCCTTTTGTTCACTTAAAAATATTTTAAATTTGCATCACTCTGACTGAGATTTTTTTTGTCATGGCGGGACTAGAAATAATTTTTCAAGATTAATGTAACATTTCGTGTACATGTAACTTGTGTCTAAAAATTGAAAAACTTTCCAATGTTTTTCACTTAAAGAATAGCACAAAAATACAATTTAAAATTAATTTCGTTTCTTAATTACAGTTTATATTTTGTTTTAAGTGCCCAAATACCACATTTATATTGTATGTTTTGGCGTTTGAACCTTAGTGGAGTTCCTATAAGTCCATATATCCTAATATATGTACAATATGTATATATATTACTGAATTTAACATTTCATGAAAATAAAAGGAGATAATAAAAATTGATTTTAAGTCAAATTTTTCAATAAGAAATGATTACATATAATATGTACAAATATTTGCAGTACATATTTTACATATTCTTCGATGTTTGAAAATTGTTTTATAAGCATAATTATATACATATATATAATTTCACTTGAGTGTGGTATGCAGAAATTATGGCATGTATGTAAAAATTTAACTTGACCATTTTGCATCTTACAAATATTTAAATTTGCAAATTATTTTTTATTTCATGCGGGAAAAACATTTTCAGATTAAGTACATTTTTTACTTTCCTTTGTGTCAAAATTTGAAAAACTTCCAATGTTTCACTAAGTCAATAGCACAAAATACAATTTAAATTAATTTGTTGCTTAATTTACAGTAATTTCTGTCTTAAGTGCAAATACACATTTATATTGTATGTTTTGGCGTTTACAACTTAAGTGAGTTTTTAAGTCTATATCCTAATATGATCCTAATTACTGAATTTATACATTCATGAAAAAACAGATAATAAAATTTGCATTTTTAAGTCAAATTATTCAATAGAAAATGCATTCAAGTATATGTCAGAATATTATCAGTACATGATTTTACATATTCTTCATTTGAAAATTGTTTTTAAGAATTATAACTATGTATGATTAATGTTCACATGAGTTGGTATCACCTCAATTACACCATACAAGGAGCTTTAATATTAAAGAAAAATATATTAAAAAATATTGTTAAGCATTATACACTAAGAACAGTAAAATAATTACGATTACGATAGAAAGTTACGTAGATGCTCTCCAATAAATCAAAAGTCCGAAAAAAATCCAACATTGCGCTATAAGTAATGATAAGTGTAAGGGTACTTTTAAATAAGCTGACAATTTCCTGCAAAGAACAATGTATATTTAAATAAAATCCGGTTTACGTGCATTCCGGAAAAAGTGAACTTAACGTCAGCTGGAGTAGAAGTATTCCACGGACCACCAATAAAGCTTGAGAATGTAACTTAAATCAATAAAGCAGTTGGCTCCACAAACATATTCTTACAATGTAAGTATATACAATACCACAGTGCATAAAGGGGGGGGGGGGGCTAAGGGTTCAAGTCCCAGCGAATGTGAAATTCTTTCGGCTTTCATGATAATTCAACCTTGGTTCGATACTTAGTCAGCATTAGTAGTGTGACTTTCGGAACTATAGTCTAGGACTACCATAATGACCCTCTACCAAGTTTTTATTTTTTATTTAATATGTATCTATTTTTAAATTGAACATATTTTTACTTATTTACCTGGCTTACCAAATATCTTGTTTACTTAACTATACATCATTTTTAGGGGAAAATGTTAAAATGTGAGCGTACTGAATAGCAAATAATACAGATCGTGACAGAGGGCAGGGGTATTATGTTACACGTGATAGTTTAATATTAAGATGGTAATGGTGAAATTTCATACAAAATAAGTGACGTCACGTGTTAAAAAGCTCTTATAATACTGTACGTTTGTTACGTCGTTGTTCAGTGTTTAAATATTCTAATATATACACGGCTACAGTCGTTTTATGAAGTTATTTCATATTTTCTCTAATACAGGAAGTGTGCAGTATTATAAGCTTCTTGACATGTTATATGATCATATATAGACGATTATTTGCAATACATAATTATAAAGCTACATAACCTGTTAAAATCTTCATAACTTGCAATATAGTATTACTCGTTTTCCGTCCTGTAAGTTGAAATTATGCTCACATGTTGAAAATAGTATTAATAAGACAAATGCCTTCCATGATATGTGTTGTTTGTAAAACATACAAAACAACAACAACAACAAAAAACAACAACAAAAAACCGGATCTTCCACGATATTCTACGTTTTCATGAGAAAGGATTGAAATAAAGTCTACAGTGTCTTTGAAAGTTCCTTAAAGTAGGTGCAATACATTTAAACACAATAAAGATAAAGATGATAATGTTAACTAAGCCTTCAAGCTCAATACTTATTTACAGCACGATGATTGCGTGCAGCATAACGGTGGCACTATTTTCTTATCCATTATATCAACATTACACTGTTTATTGACGGATCGACAGCAATCGACAGGGCAATTTTCTGTATTCTCTCCAAGATCACATACAAGATCGAAGCAAGTGTCTGGAATGGTGTAGTTTGAGTAGAGTAAATTGTCCTTCTCAGAAAGTACACAATACGCACTGAAGCAGAACGCATACAACCAACAAAATCCAGGCCTGTCGAGATGATATTTTTGAACCTTCTTGAGACAAGTTTCGTTTACTAGATTCTGTCGAGCACAACCTCCACATGGGAACTGGAATGCAAACAATCCACTGCCGTTTGAATTATCAACGCCGCATTTGTCGCAGTAAATTCCTTTAGACGCTGACTGATACGTTTTGCCGTCACAATATGGATGTTCCTCATTGCAATTGTTACAGCACTCGTACACGTGATATCTAGATATTCCGCCAAACATGAACAATCCGCATTTACCCGGTGCTGGCTGGTCGCCGGTCTTTCTTCTTACCCGGACACTTTGGCATTCTGCCAAAGTTAGAAGAATTACAATAGTAAAACAGATAACACATCTGGCCATGTTAGTCTACCTTTCAAAGCAATGACGATATAAAAATATGTCTTTCTTTATAAACCTTTACGTTTTTATTATTATATTTCCGCCTTTTAGAAATATTACTCATACATGTAAAGCTTATCTTAAGTTACAAAGCATGCGGTCAAGAGCAAAACACGTTATGATAATCGCATGC